AATAAAACTCATGTGAATTCATTTAAAACAATCAAATGTTTAAAAGGAAACTTTAGCGGTTAGTATAAACAATGTGACTGGGTTCGCACTTTCTGTAACTTTGAACGTTACGATTCACTGTATACAGATCGGATCTATAAAGGCTTAAGACTTTAACCATAGTTATGTTTGTTTTTGAAGTTAAGCACAAAGCTACACAATGGGCTATCTGTGCTCTGCCTACCACGGGTATCGAAACCCGGTTTCTAGCGTTGTAATTCCACAGACATGCCGCTGTGTCACTGGGGAGCCCATAGTTATGATTAATATATTAAATAAATAATTCACTCATCTTCAGTTGAAATAGTTGCGACTGTAATTAAATCTCAAATCGGTCAAGAGATAGAGCTATTTGATAAACGTTTCTACTTGAAAAAAAAAACGTAGAGCCATTGTATGAGCCGCTATTCCGCGGCTAGTTATTTAAATTCAGCTGTCATGTATATGACAGCAGGAGTTATTGTTTATTGGACACACAATCATTCCAAGCAAGGCTTAGGTTTTGTTATTTATTCACACAAAATCGAAAGAGGTAAAGGTCTGCGCTCTAATGGATTATTTTACATGCAATAATTTGTTATCACTATAACGAATAGAGGGAATACTGTATGGAAAATGGTTGGGTTGGAGAGTGTATACATTCAATTCCGAGCGCTGCGTGAGAATAACTCACCTAACGTGGAAAGATAAAAACTAATAGAAATATATACATCTATGTGTTTAATGTGTTAATTAGAAGATCTAGTAGATGAGTGAGTCGTCGTTATTCTGTGCAGAAAGAATTGTATACATTCTGTGCTAATTAAGATAAGAGCTCATTCAGAAGTCTATCATGACATAAAGGTAAATGTGGCAAGGTTGCAATTTGCTTCTTCCTATTCTCAATTAGATCACCGCTGTATTTAACTTATGTCAATAATAAAGTATCGTACTCCGTCCTTAAAAGTACTCCAGTGGGACAGCAGTAATTCTACAAACTTACAACGCTTAAATCCGGGGTTCATTCCCCGCGGTGAACGCAGCAGAACTGTGGCTTAGCTCTAAAAAAAACAAAAAAAAACATAACACATAACCGTTTAAAAAAAAAGAATTTGATGAAGCTCGAGTATAAGGATTTTTTCATGTAGCTTTTTACTCTGAATTTGCTATCTTGTTATGTGGTAACTTCTGAAATCTCTAGATCCTTACTAAATCAGCAAGTTTTATGCTATGATTAATGGCTTGTTCAAGTCTCTCGCATAGATCTGACCCCCAGCAGTACAGTGATATGTCTGCGGACTTGCAACGCTAGAAACCAGCTTTCGATACTCGTGGTGGGCAGAGCACAGACAGCGCATTGTATAGCTTTGTGTTTAACTTCAAGCAAGCAAACACATAGATCTAATCAAATGTCTTTCGAAGATAATTCTTCATAGAGTTAACCTAAGCTGCAATATGAAGTCTTCCGGAAAATCCTAATACTGAAATAGTTGGTCAGTTTTTTCTTTGTTGTTGTTGTTGTGTTTTTTCAAAGAAATTCTGCCAAACAAGAAAATACATTAATCGTAAGATAGTTGAACTTATTAAAATGTAATTATCTTGTTCAAGCCTAGAAAAATGTGTTTTTTTATAAGCTACATTTTTGAAGGTCTAGGATTGAATGTGTGATCATTACAATTGTCATACATGTTTCAATTTTCTTTCGCTAAAATTGCAAACTATGTCTCTTATTTACCTGGTTATATTTAGATTAGGTCATTGTTTTTAAGACTGGCCTGTTTTTCTTTCGAATTATTGCCGAATTTAGTGCGATAACTCGTTTTTTTTATGTTTTATAATCATCATGATCTTATCTGATGCTATCCTAAAACATCATATCATGCAACCTACCTCGAGCTCTAGTTCGGTTGCTAAAGTAACAAAGTCATAAGAGGAACGGTCTAATAAAGAGTCCTTAAATTCTAGATCTAAAATGTTGAATTCTCCTCTGACTGCATTGGGAACTGAAAAGTAAAACAAAGAAAAAGTAACAAAAATCAAATATAAGTACGACTTGCTTTTTATTCAATGACGAGTTTTCAAAAAATACGTTGCAACTTTTTATTCTCATAAAATTGTTAAACATACAATAGCGTCAGCACTGAAAATTTTGAGGGTATCAGAATCTAAGTATGTATTATTATTAGTACAAAGTGGTCACGTGGTCGGTCAATTTGACCGAGCTCGTTTAGAGAAAACGTACATTACATCATTATATGCTTCACGAAAATGATTTTTCACAAAATAGTTTAATCTTCTTTTCTTACCAATTCTCACAGGAATACTCATGCCATTCAGAAAAATTGTTATTGTAGGCGACACAGTTTGATTTATTTTGCGAATTCCGGTAGATGGCGCTAGAAACGTCAACTCTTTTTGAAGTGTTGTTGATGATGGAGGCAGAGACGTTGGTGTTGACGGAGGAGAGTTTTGAGAAGATGGTGGAGTTGACCATAATTGAGAGGAGTTTTGAAGAGATGAATAAGGGTGGTGAGGGGATTCACGAGAACCAGGCGTATTGCCCTGTAGTAGATCAATGTCAGGTTTTTCTGTCGTTTCAGTAATATTTGATTCTATAAGTAGAATGCCCGCTGAAAGAGAAAAAAAAAGTCACGTTGAAATAAAAACTTGAAGACATACGGGGTGCATCTGAATTCAAGGTTTCAGTATATAAATTGAAGTAAAATATAATCTAAATTTTAGATGTCTGACTTAACAACTTAT